ATTAGCTTGGATTTCTGTGTACCCTTCCTGGGCTGTTTTGCAGTATGTCTTCCAATGAATAGTCCAGTGACCCATCCTGGAAGTGTTGTTCTGTCCTGTCAAGTCCTCCTAACTCCTGGCTTTATTTTCCATGCCATGTCTAAGATTCAATCTCAAAGGAAAATTTCAACCTCCCCTGTTTTGTTCTGTTGCTCTTGTAGGTATATGGTGCTATTTTCAACATTAAAAATAAAAACCCATTCAACATGGAGGTGCTGGTGGATGCCTGGCCAGATTATCAGATAGTCATTACACGACCTCAGAAAGAGGTGAGAGCACTAGCTACTGAATGCTGAATGCCCCAGGATGTTCTCTGTGCAGGAATGCGGGAACTGAAGTGGGGGGCTGGGGAGAAGACCCTTGACACCTCTAATTCATACAGGTTTTGGAAGGGCGGCTTGGGAGGCTGCTTTAGGGAGAGGGCAAGACTACGAGATAAGGCATGGGGGTAGACCACATAGACAATAATCCAAGATTTGTAAACAGAATTGGAATCCCACCTGATCAGTTCTTTTCCATCAAGATTCTGATCATAGGCATACACCTCAACAGAGATGCCTATGGCTGGAAATGGTTAGGAAGAGTTTTTCTTCCCCTGTGATTAAATAAACATACTCCAGTAATACCTGAGTCAGTGCTGGGTTTGAGATCTACATCTGCCAAATGATTAGTTTGACCTTGGGGATGTATGACCTTGGGAAGACTGCTGCTTTCTTAACAATAAAAAAGTGACTTTGACAAAAATTACTATGTCAAAGGATTTGTTAAACAATAGATAAGTCCTGTATATTTAATAAGAATGCCTTCTCCATCTTCAGAGTATAAGCACTGAATCCCTTACTTCCTGGAGTAGGAATATTTTAATAGCACCCCACTCCACTTATCCATTAACATAGTAATTTGGGGAATTAGAACCCATCACCTGCAGTGACCACCCCCCAGAGGAGTGTCAGCAGCAGAAGAGAAACAGGCCTGTGGTGGCAGACTGAACCCTCTACTCCAGGAGCTGTGGTGAGCTCTGGCTCTTTCCAAAAGTCCCCCTTTTTCACGTGCACACCAAGAACCAATCACTATGCCAGCGCCAGAGTGCTGGGTCAGTGTTAGCTTAGGCATCACCTCCTCATGGATCCAGTCTTGACCCCAACCCTGTCTCCTGTAATTCTCTCCACACCTTAAGCCTCCTCTCTTTTAGACCCTTAGTACACACTATATTTGGTGTACCTTCCATCCCAGACAATGGAGCTACTGGCCCACCCTCCCAAAGGCGGTTGACTTTAGTGCACCATCAGAAAGGAACAACCTTTAGTGTGTCAATAGTGATATATTCTATCAGGGACTCCAAGGACATTTTCTGCACCTATCACCGAAAAAATAGGGTATCAAACAAATGAGTCTCTGGTACTCCAGACATGTCCAAGAACATTTTGTAAATTGTAGTGCAATCTAAATATGATTGATATTTGTTACATCAGGAGATGAAGGATGATCTGGATTATTACACCAACACTTACCACATCTTCACCAAAGCTCCTGACAAGTTAGAGGAAGTCCTGGCATGCCCCCAGGTTATCAATTGGGAACAAGCCTTCCCGATCCAAGGTAACTGGTCTGAATTAAAGGCAAAGACATCCTGGTTAATTCATAGCAGATATGAAAGGAGTGACACAATGCCTGTCTTTCTTCTCTCCCCAGGTTGCCAAGAGAGCTTGGGTCAGGCAATACGAAAAGTTTCAGCTTCAAAATCAGTGCAGGTGGATTACATGAAGACCATGCTCTTTATGGCAGAAAAACCAGTGAAACTCAAGACATCAGTTGATGACAAGCTGGATTGGATGAAGTTATTTAAAATGCCTAACATGGAGGAAGACAGAAGGTGAGATTTTACCCTTTGCTCCCTAAATTCCTGATAGAATCACTCAGTTGCCCTAAGGGCC